AGCCCCACCCCAAGGAAGAGCAGACCCAGAACAAAGCCACCGATTCCACTCAGCATCTTGCTCTGTGCAGATTCAGACTGTGCTCCTGAGAGAAGAAGCTAGTTTTAGTCATTTTTACCCCAAATCTAAATTCTCTAGTTGAGACTCTGGGATTGAGAGCTTTGACAATGGGGGAAGAAGGCTACCCTTCTTCCCAGAACAATCGGTCATTTCTAGAAAACAGACTTAAAAATCACACTGAGTAGATACAAGGTTCGGGCATTGAACTCCTTTAAATATCACAGCCCTGAAATAAGACTACTTCTTCAACATCTGATGGAGGAGGAGGCTGGGACTCAATAAGGTTGAGTAGCTTGTCTAGGGTAACAGAGCTAATAGAAGGCAGAGCAGAGATTGGAGTTGCTCGTGTCAGGAAGGTCCCTACATTGTAGAGGATGTGCCTCTTCTCAGATCACAATGAACAACTCAGAGAAACAGTGCAGAAGTACTGGCTCAGCCTGAGATAGGGGACTGATTGATCCCAGGACCAAGGGAGAACCATGACATGTGATCTCATGGGAAGGCTCAAAATAGGGACAATCTCTTTTCTGTCTGCCATCCATAATTGCCTCCAAGGAGCTATAAGTATTTATAGAAATTATCACAGGGCTATCCCCAAGGAACCTGTGCTGAAGGAGAGGAGAACATGGAGCAAATGAAAATATCGTGTGGGGAGTGGAGAACCTAACACTCAGGGTTAAGCTAAATGCCCTCATGGTGGGTGAGGCATTTATGAAGTCAGAAAGCTTCTCACTCCATTCCATTGAGATAGGGCTTGCCCGGCTTGCGTGCTGCACTTGACAGGTATAGACCTCTCCACTCTGAGGAACAGTTTCCAGCATCACCAGGGTCTGGAAGGTCCAGTCTCCATTATGAATCAGGCCTGTGGAGATGACCCCAGCCTCCTCTTGCTGGCCATTCCGCAACCATATGACTTCAATGTCGCCTGGATAGAAACCATTCACAGAGCAGACCAGGAGGTTGTGGTGCTGCAGGCGCTGGGTCTTTGCAGGATACACAGTCACTGTAGGCTCAACTAGGAGAGAAAAGGTGGAGGGGATATGAGAGGAAGACAGAGTAAGTCTCCCTGGTGGGCTGCCCCTCTGCCTCCAGTCTCTAGTCCCAGATCTAGTCTTGGACAAGCCTCCCTCAGGGCTGGCCATGTGGCTGCACAGGAGTTAGTGCATGAGCCTGGAAGCTAATCCTCACAGCACAGGCGGGTCAGATTTGAGAGATGTTGAGGAAGTCTGTGGGAGTTTTTGTTCTTTTTTTTTTTTTTTTCATAGCATGAAACAGTCATTCATTGTTTTTATAAATGTCTTATAAATTTATAAATGGTGTTTATAAATCTTTGCAAGACATGTAGTGTGTTATTAAAAGCATGAATTCTGGAGCCGGACTGCCTGAGTGCAAATCCTCTTACTGATTGATGCTGAGGGAGTTTTTACATTCCTCTGTGCCTCAGTTTTCTCACCTATAAAGAGAGATAAAATACTAACTTATCTCTTAGGGTTCTGTGAGAATTAATGCACTTAAAATATTTAAAGTGATAACTGAGATTTAGCCTTTAATGTCTGTTAGCTATTTGTTATCCTTAATTAGAGAGAAAATATGATTCAAGTAGTGAGGGTGAATTGGTTAACGGCTTGGGGAAGATGGGATACAGAGTATGACATCCTGGGAATGCTACACTCACAGCTTAGAGCACCACAGAAATGGTTCTACCCTGGGCAACAAGAAAGGCACAGGTGATTCTCTAACTCTGAGTTCCAGGAAAGCATGAGTCCTGGAGGAGAAGAAAAGGAGCAAAAAGCAGTCACTCATTTTTTAATTTCTTATATTCATACTCAGCTGATCCAATCCCTCTCCTTTGCAAACAAGCATATATATTATTGATATTGTTATCGTGTTACAATTGTCTCTCTTTTTAAGCTGACATTTGAGCTCTGGACAAGGTTTGGGACTCATTAACAATTGTGCTTAGTGCCTGAGACAATTCCCAATATGAACAGCATCAATAAATACAATTTTTTAAAAGAAGAGAAACATGGGGAAAACAGTTTTAAATACCACAAAATGGTAGGCTTAAGATTGATGGTAAATCATTGCTACTGATTTTGTGCTATATTTCATTAAATTAAATGTGTTTGAATTCCTATGAAAAATAATGAACTGAATCTCAAAATAAACCTCAAACTGGGGAAAATGCTGAATCAAATATCAGCAAAGTGTTAACAACCTTACTGCATAAAGAACCCATAAAATCATTGAGAGAAACACCAGGACCCTAGAGATAGTGGACAATAGATAATTCTTAGAGTAGTAACAACAAGTAGCCAAGAAATATGTGAAAAAATGTTCGTGAGCCCTAGAAATAAAAGGAATGTAAATTAAAAATAAAAAATATGTAAAATTTCAAAAATGTAACAAAGGGGAATGTGAGGTAAATTGTTCCAACCATTAAAAGAAATATTATATAACTACTTGAATACTGTTAGCTTAAAAGAATAGTTACATTGTTATGTTAAGTAACAAAATTATAATTCGGAAAGCTGGTTTCACAGTCATTTCAACTATGTAAAAATATATAGACTTAGGGGCGGAGAAAGCAAGAAATCTAGACCTAAAATAAGCCCCAGAAAGATCAGAGGTGTTTCAGATGTTCCCCCCACCCCTCAAAAATTAGTCTGACACTTTTCAATAAAATGCTTATGCAACAAACAGAGGCACCCTTATTCCAGGGCTTTCGGAATCAAGAAGGGTGCAGCCAAGACAGACTGTTGTGACTCTCCTCTGAACAATTCTCATCTCTGCTCCCCTAAACCTTCCCCCACCCAGACAGCACCGTAAACCTCCCTTCCCCCATCTCTGACCCCCGCCTCCGCATCATCAAGCTTTCCCCACCTCCAGCCCCGGCCGCTCAGCTGTCCCACAGCGG